GGCCTCCTCTCGTCCCCAGGGGGCGCTCTCGGCCATTGTCCAGTCCGGAGTTTGCTCAGGAAGTTTGGGGCCTGCCGACCCTGCGCCCATTACCTGGGCCTGGAAAGTCGCCCTTTGCCTGCTCTGTGCCTTAACTTATCCTCGGGCCCCGGGACTACTGAGTGGTGGTGTACGCTAATAAAAGGGGTGCCTCAATCCCGCGAAGAATTGCTCTTTCCTTCCAACCTGCCCACAGCCCCTGCCGCAAAGGCTGCCCCCGGGACTGAAGGGCGCCAGGAGCACCCCTCCCCGCACTGTGCACAGGAAGCCCTGATGCTCCAAGACTTAACCGGCTGCGCGTTATGGGCAGAGCTGGATCCTCAGGCTCTTCGGCCCTGAAAGCCTGGGGGGCCTCTTCCAGCCTCCCCATTACCCCAGCCCCTTTTTCCACCTGTAGGGGCAGCATTAGTTCCTGTCCTGGCCAAGGGCACTCCGATGACGCAGGCCTGGGGCCTGGAGGCTGCTATCCTGGTTCCAGCCTGGCTCTGGGGCCCTGGGCGGCCACAGCCAGCTCTGAATGTGGGCCATGACAAGGCAGCAGCCCAGCCCCCTCCACCCACTGCCCTACTTCCTAGGCCCAAGGGTTGGGAGGAATAGGAGACAAAGGACAGGGGATAAGGGCTTTTGGACAGTGAGCTCGGTGATCAAAGACTCTTAGAACCACAGAACATTGGGAACAGGCCATCTCAGGATTTTGAAAAATCCAAATATCTCAGAATCTTAAGAACAAGGAAACAAAATCTTTGAGAACCTGACATCTGAGATCATAAGCACTACCATTTATCAAGCTCTTAGAAGGCACCAGGACCTGTGCTAAGCACTTAATACAGGTTATTTCTGGTCCTCACTTCCTCGGCCCCATTTTACAGATGGAAGACCCAGAGAGGTTGACTCACCCAAGGGCAAAGTTAGGGTCATAGCCAGGGTTCCATGACACCAGTGGGCAGAGAAGGGCACTGAGCTGGTGGTCACCAACTGGCCAACCTCAGGGCGGGATGAACACTTGTGAGCGGAGGAGACCCTGATCATGTAATTCCATGTCTACAGCCTGTGTCCCCCAGGAAAGCACGAGTGACATTAGGGGTTTGGCCTGGTCTGTCCCCCGCTATGTACGCAGCAGCCAGGACAGTGCCTTTGGATTTCTGTGACTTTTGGGGGGAAAATGAACACCCAGACCCCTGCTCTCGCTCCTGTTCTCCTGGCCCACCCACACTTCCAACCTGCGGCCCCCTAGTCAAGACACTTTTTGGAGCACCGCTGGGATGCAGGAACTCCTAAGTCACTAGCTCTTAAACTAGCTGAAATGAAAAGCAATTTTCATTTCTAATTTTGTCATGAATCAATACTTGAAGATAAAATAAAAACTAGAAAAGTGTAATAAAAAAAAGATATAAAGAATCAAGCCACAGTTTGTATTACCAGATTAATCAGACATAAAATTACATTCCAATAAATATAATCAGAACAAACATGGGGAAAAGAAAGCACGAAAACTAGTCACTGAAAGTAAGCAGCGCTATGCTCATAACTTTTTGTTATTCCACAATCTTAGCAAAGTTTCCTCAGAAATGGTGATTTTCCATATTACAAGACTCAGGAGTCAGCAAGCTGTAGTCCACAGGCCCAACAGAGCCCCCAAGTTAAGAAGGGTTCTCACATTTTTGTAACAGTTGGGAAAAGTGAAGGAATAATAATAGATTTTTGAACCCATAGAAGTTTATAAAATTCAAACTTCCTTGATCAATAAATCAAGTTTAATTAATTCTTTATTAAAGTTCCAATACAGCCACACTCATTTGTCTATGTGTAGGCTCTGGCTGCTTGGGGACCCAGACTACAACTGCAGTGTGAGCAGCTGCAGCAGAATATGTGCTCCTCAGCCTCAAATCTTGACTATCCAGCCCTTTACAGAAAACATATGCCAACCCTGGAGCTGAAGTATGGTAGCAATCATCTCAGGTAGAAACTATAGTTTAACTTTAACTCTGCTGTTTGGTTTCTGTACTTATTTGTTTGCTAAAATAATAGAAAAGTTATTTTGATTTTCTGAATTATATAAATCACCCCATTCGATTGAATACCCTATTGATTGTACGGTGAATATCCCATTGGTTTTGGTCATACTGGTCTTAGAAAGCACATTTAGACTAGTTTTCGTGCTTTCTTTTTTCCCATATTCTGATTATATTTATTGGGATGTAATTTTATGTCTGATTAATCTGGTAATACAAACTGTGGCTTGATTCTTTATATCTTTGTTTTTTATTTCACTTTTCTAGTTTTTATTTTATCTTTGTTTTTTATTTCACTTTTCTAGTTTTTATTTTATCTGCATCAGTGTAAGAGAGACACATCGACTGGTTGCCTCCCGCAGGCACTCTGACCTGGGCCAGCGATTGAACCTGCAACCCAGGTACATGCCCTTGGCCGGGAATTGAACTTGTGACCCTTTGGTTCTCGGGCCGGCACTCTCACCACTGGTCAACACCGTCAGGGCTACATTAGAACTTTAAACGTTTGATTGGGGGTCTGTCAAAGGGTTCCTCCCTCCCTCCCACTCTCTCGGAAAAGCAATGGAGAAAGCATCCTCAGGTGAGGATCAACAACAACAACACTGAAGCCTCCTCCCCTCCCGCCTTCCATTTTGCTTTGTCTATTGTTTCAGTCCCTTCTTGTTTTTAAATCCCCCAAATAAAATGTGTAAAGCAAATGCTTCTTTAAACCCACCAATGTGTTTCCTGGTTTCTATCCTGACTGTTAGTACACATTCTGCCTTCATTCTGGATTGAATTTCCTTCTCACGGGAGCCGTCCCTTCAATGCCAGTATGTGGGTGGAACCCCTTTCGCTTTCCTTTTGTAGTCTGCAGTTTCACTGAGATGCAGCTAACTTTTTTTTTTGAGAAGATAAAGGATCTGTGTTTATTTCCGGGTGGATATACATTTAATTTTATTTATTCTTCTCTGGCTCCCATGTGCTCCTTCAGTCTGGGCGCTTGTCTTTGTGGGAAAACTTCATCTCTCTGAATATGGCTTCATGCCCTTCTCTCTGTTTTCTCCTTTTGAAACTCCTAAGGACTTGTAATTACCCTTTAAATTTTTCCCATCTTTTTATCCTTCAGTGCTACCTTAGTGGTGATTTCTCAGGTAATAGTTTCTAGTTCATTAATCCTCTCTAATCTGTTTCTAATCTGCTGTTTAACTTATTGATAATTTTTTTCATTCCAATGGCTATATCCTTTATTTTTAGAAGTTCTATTGTTAGCTTTTGAAATCTCCCTGTTCAGTTTTAATACTATCCTGTTGCTGCATCCTCTCTTCCTTCTTTTATCTCAGTACTAGAGGCCTGGTGCACGAAATTCATGCATGGGTGCGGTCAGTCCCTAGGCCTGGCCGGCGATCAATGTAAAAGCTTCTGGCGTGGAAGGGCAGGTCCCAGCTGACCTCTGGGCCCTGGGCAGCACCTGGCTTCATCTTCAGAAGTGACTGTGTGTGTGTGTGTGTGTTTTAAGTCCTATGTGCCTGGGTTGAAAGTGTGCCCTTTTCAGCAATTGCTTTCCTATTTCTTCAGCTTTCCATGCCATGGGGACAGACCACACTCCTGTTTGACGTGCAGGCCTGTGTTCTGGGCTCTCTAGGGTAACTTTTCCCGCTCAAGGCCCTGGACATCTGTACCCCTGCTAATCCCTCAGGCTGGTCAGTGGAAGTATATTTTGGTTCCCTTTTCAAGTACAGGATACCCTGTTGAGACCCTTGAATGCACTTAGGGTCATGTCTTGCTCCTCAGCCTCTTACTGTTGTTGGTCCCTCCTGGGTGTTAGAGCCCACGCTCTCAACCCTCCAGTCTGAAGCCCCCACAGTGTCCACCCCTCCCATCACCCAGCTTGGAGTTCTTTCTTTGTCTTTGGTACCTAAGGTTATCCCTCTTTTTTCTTTCAAGTTCACAATTTTTTAAAAACATTTCTACACACAAGTAGTAGGAGGCCACCCTCTCAATCTTCCCCCCAAACTGCCCGCTTTTTAAAATCCTCACCCGAGGATATGCATATTGATTTTAGAGACGGGGGAAGGGAGAGAGAGAGAAACATTGATGTGAGGGAGAACCTCATGGGTCACCTTGCACACGTGCCCTGACCAAGAATGGAACCCACAACTAGGCACGTGTCCTGACGGGGAACTGAACTCGCAACCTTTCAGTATAAGAGGCAAAGCTCTAACCAACTGAGCCACATCTCCCAGGGCAAAACTGCCCCATTTTTTAATGCTGCCCGTGCCAGGTAGCTCCGTACCCGCCGAGGGACCGGAGAGACCCCAATCTTGCTCATCCTGGGGAATGACAGGCAGTTGAGCGTGGGTTTTCTCTTAGCACCTCGGGTGGGAAGGAGATGAAGATGGGGGTGGTCAGGGGACAAGCCAAGCTGCCAGCCAGGTGGTGTCGGGCAGAAGCAGCCTGCTGGTCTCTTCCATCCTGGGGCCTCGGGGGAGGGTGTGCGGCATGAACCCTGCTGGAGCCTCAGTGGGTGAAAAGCATCATCACAAACTCTGCAGAAGAGATGGCCCGTGCAGGTCAGGGATCCCAGGAGGCGCTGGGCTCAGACTGGGAGCCGGCGGGTGGCGGAAGCGCCCGGGGTGGGGGCAGGACGCTCACCATCGAAGTCCACGGTGCCGTCCCCATTGAGGTCCACGTTTCGGAGCATCTCCTCCAGCTCAGGGTCCGCCAGCGGCTCCCCCAGCAGAGCCGGTGCAGCCTGTCGCAGCTCTGCCACTGTAATTCGTCCATCCCTGTCCCTGTCAAACTAGGATCGCGGCAGGGTTCAGCCCCTCCGACCCAAAGCCATCCCTACCTCACCACGCGCTGTGCTTGGGCGCCCTACCTCCCATAGTCCAAACCCTCCCTCTCCTGCTCCTGGAAGCCTCCCTGAGTGGACCCCCAGCGCGGGGGAGCCACATCCTCTCCAACCCCTCCCTGGCACTGGTTCCCATCTCTGCAGGGCTCGGGGCCTCCCTGGGCTGAGCCCCCCCATCTGCGTCCCTCCTGGCCTGGGTGGGGGTCCCATAGGATGCCGTCCAGCCACCCACGCAGCGCCCGCCTCGCCGCCTCGCCCCACACCTCTCGGAAGGCGATGCGCAGCTCCCGCACCCCCAGCATGTGTGCCGTCTCCTCCCTCAGCTTCGGGGCCATCAGTTCCACAAACTCCTCGAAGTCCACACGGCCACCCACTGCAGACCCAAGCAGAGTGTCACCATGGGGGCTGGGGCCCTGGGAGGGACAGCATGAGGGCCAGTCCCTCCTGGCTCTCCCTACATCCAGGAGAGAATGAACAACCAGCATCCATACCCTCAGGGGGGTAGGAGGCCAGAGCCCTACTGTCTGCTGGGGGTACACTCAGTGAAGCCCCCCGGGGGCAGGGCGGGGGAAGAGGCCAGGCTTTGGAACCAGACAGCCCCTGGTCCCAACCCTGGCTCTGCAGCCGCTGGTGCGTGGCCTTGGGTGACTGGCTGAGCTGCCCTCCTTACCCTCGGCTGAGGGCAAGAGAGCCGAGCGGTGCTCGCGGGCTGGAGCTCATGGCTTTCACTTATGTGGACCCCTGTGGGCAGCAATAAATGCCCCTAAAGAAATGTACCCATGTTGCCCCTTGGCCTAAGATATCATCTATACTAATAAAAGGGTAATATGCTAATTAGACCGGACATCTTCTGGACAAAGCCACGGTGGCAGGGGCCGAGGCAGAGGTGGTTAGGGGTGACCAGGCCGGCTGGGCAGGGCAGTTAGGGGGATCAGGCTGGCAGGGGAGAGCATTAGGGGAATCAGGCAGGCAGACAGAGTGATTAGGGCAGGCAAGCAGGTGAGCAGTTAGGAGCCAGAGGTACTGGATTGCAAGAGGGATATCCAATTGCTGGTTTAGGCCCTATTCCTGGGGCCTAAACTGGCAGTTGGACATCCTCCAAGGGATCCTAGATTGGAGAGGTTGCAGGTCAGGCTGAGGGACCCCCCCCTCCCCCACTCTGTGCACGAATTTCATGCACCAGGCCTCTAGTCAATTATAAAAAAACACCGATTGCCAAATAACAGCTTTGGGGAAAGAAAAGAGCATAAACCAAAATGTCCACAGGAATTGTAAGTCACATCCCACTCTGGAGCCGAAAAGAGTAAGCAGGTGCAGGTGTCCTGGAAGGGAGGTGACTCTGATGTTTGACAAATCAGCTAATGATAACCACAGTGTCCGCCCTTCCTACGTTTAATCACTAGAGTGGCCAAGATTCTGTCACACTAGGCCTCACTGAAGCTCAGGAGGCTCTTTTTAGGGGGCGGGGGGTGGGGCTGGGGGAGAGATGGCTAGCCAGCAGGAGGCATTTCCTCACAACGTCAGAGGCAGGCTTCTTCAACCCGTCACCATCGAGCCCCAAGGTCTCTCTTGAATGCCCCGTGCCTTCCCTGCCCCCTGGTGTCCCTGCAGCTGAAGGGGCCAATGTCAAACTGTCCTGGAAACTGTCATCTCCCTGCCCCACCCCCATCCCCCCGCTGGACGCTTAGGGCCGCCCAGGCAGGTGGGGTCCGGCACTGACTTCGCATCTTGACATGCTGGGAGACCTCAATGAGCTCCATCTCCGTGGGCATGTAGCCCAGGGTCCGCATGCAGGTGCCCAGATCCCGGTAGCCGATGTAGCCGTCACGGTCAGTGTCAAACTCCTCGAAGGCGGACTGTAGCTCTGCAGGGGCGGGAGGTCAGGCCCAGGAGCCAGGCTCAGGGACATCTCCCACCCGCTGCCTCCAGGAAAGATCACTCACCATCCAGCTCCTCGGGGCCCAGCTCTCGATCCTGCAGGGGCACAGTCCAGCATGTCCCAGGGCCAGCCAGGACTTTGGCCCTCCCACGCCAGCTCCCACCCACACTGGCCTGGGCAGGGCCAGTTCCACAAGGGCAGGAGAAGGCAACTGAAGACATGTGGGCCCCAGGAAAAGAGACAACACCCCCTTCCTGCTCCCGGGGTCCTGAGCTCTCACAGAACCTGGGTCTGAGGTTCGGCTCCACTGACCAGGCCAACCCAAGACCTCTGCTTCTTCAAACTCCAGATACCCTGCCCCAGGGTCCAGAGGAGAAGGGGCAGGAGGCCTGAGCTCCAGGGGCATGGTGGGCTGAACCTGGGGGTCATGTTCCACCCCCACTCCCAGGTCCCCAGCCCTGCCCAGGCCCCACCTGACCTTCCCGAAGATGTGGTTGAGCAGGGGCCCATATGTCTTCTGAGCAGCATCCTGCCAGGGGGCAGGACGATGACGGTGGGACTGGCGACGAGAGGCCGGCCTGGGGGCTGCAGGGGCTGGCTCCTCCTGTCCTCCTGTCCTCGAGGGGCTCTTGCTGCCCCCTGAGGCCTCAGGGCACTGGATGGGGGTCTGCTTCCCAGAACCGTCAGCGCCTTTCCGGGACCCTTGGAGCCCCCTCTCCCTCTTGCTTCTCCTCCTGGTCAAGGGTTGTCCCTCAGCACCACTGCTGGGAGCCATGACCCCCACGGGGGACTTCTGGGGGCTGGGGGCCCGGGCTGGGCCATGCTGCCCCCTCACCTGCGCTGTGGCCATGTGCAGATGGGCGACAGGGCTCAGAGATGCAGCCCGAGGAAGCACCCTTGGCTCTCGGGACGCATAAAGCTGCTTATACGCCCTGAGCGGATGGCCTGGGATCAGGCCCTGAGGGGATTAGGGTAAGTGAGGTAGGCAGCCCAGGCCTTATCGGGGCCCTCTGGCCGGCATGGCCAGGGCAGAGCCAGATGGGGAACTGTCCTCAGCAACAATGAGTGCCAGGACGTGGTGGCTGTAATGAACTTCAGACTGCTGCTCTGCCCACTGACGAGCTGGATGACCCAGCCCATTCCCCTCTCTAAGCCTCAGTTGTCTTATCTATAAAATGGGGGCAATATTGCTGAAGAGTCAAGGACTCGGCCCAGTTGTGTGACGTGGGCAGAGCGTCGCTAGGAGAGGACAAGAGAAGGCAGCTCAGGCCAGAGGAAGAGTGTCGGCAAAGGCTGGGAGGTGGGCAGTGTAGGCTCAATGGCCCCCTGCGGCCCCCGCCTGGGCGACATCCTGGCTGGAGCAGAGAGTGTATGAAATTGACGAAGAGCGGCCTTGGATGCTGGATTTAGGGACATGGCGGTGAGGACAGAGGAGGTGGACCCCGAGGAGTCCCAGAGCCTGCACTGGGCTGGAGAGACCCATGGCGAGGAGGTTTCAGCCATCTGGCATTTTCAAGAATTCGGGGCCTGATGGTCACTTGGCCCTACTGGGCCGAGGTTAGGGTTTCCCGGTGAGCAGCCCCATGAATGATTGATGTCCTCTCAGCTTGGGTTTCATGCCGGCCGCCTTAGCGCCGCCGGGCGCCATGCAGCAGGCCCCGGCGTGGGGCCCTGCAGACGGCTGGACCTCTGGGCAGCCAGGCACGCCCTGCTCCGTGCAGCCAGCAGCCGTCCCTCACAGGTAAGCCAAGCCAGGGCTCTGATGGGCAGGGGCTGGAGCCTGCAGAGTGGGGTCTGCCAAGCAAAAGCCCTGGGTGGGCTGCTGTGGGGAGGCCACGGGGCTAAAGGCCAGATGTCAGGCGCCATGGGCACAGGCGGGTCTCCACGCTGTTGTCAGGGCTTTTTGTCCTCAGAGGGAAACTCGCTCCACCAGCGAGGGAAGTGGGGGTGGCAGCCACCTCGTTCTCATCACACTGCTGAGCCCCCTTCCCTGCTCAGTAGCCTCAGAGGAGAAATGGGGCCCCCTCCTGCCTGAGCTGGGGAGAGGGTCGCAGTGGGGCTAGAGGATGACACGAAGAGGCTCGAGTGGCTCCCAGGACGGCCTTCCTGGCCCCAGGCCACTGGGGTCTGGAGCTGCAGACCTCACCCTGAGGTCAGAGTTGTGCTGGATGGGGGAGGGGCTCAGCCCCAGACTTTCTGTCATCCTTGAATTCCTGTGTACCCAGGGGACCTGAGCCCTTCCTTTTTGGAATCTTAAACACTTGAACCCCAGGATACCAGACAAAAAGGGGCCTGCAGTGATCTGACCAAGTGGTTTTCAAACTGTGTTCCCTGGGGCCCTACGGGTACTCTCCCTTCCTTTCATCTGGGTACTCCCTTTTAGTTCATAGGAGTTCCACTAGAAAGTTTACTTAACGATTCACCAGCTTTAAAAATATGTTATCAAGCCTCTGGTTCAGTCCACTTGGACACAAGGGGATTCCGAGTGGCAGAATGGTCATGTCTGAGTTCAAGTCCTGGTGTCTCCCTTCCTACCTCTGACCTTGGGCAGGTCACTGAGCCTCTGAATTTTCCTCTCATCACCTGCAAAATGGATTTCTTGAGGACTAAGTGAGGTCATCTATTAAAGTCCCTGGCATAGGGTAACGACCCGAAAGGTGGTGAGGATGCTCAGAGGGGGACAGTGACTGCCTGGAGATGCACAGCACTTTCTCATACCCGGTCACTCATGCCTTCATTGATTTACCAGGCGCCCACTCTGTCCAGCAGTACACTGGGGACTTCAGATGGAGACTGCTATGGAAGCCAACCTGAGGGTCTCTGGCCCCGGGCCCCGCACGGAGCTCGATGAGGAGGATTACTACCCTCAGGGTGGCTGGGATACGGTCTTCCTGGTGGCCCTGCTGCTCCTGGGGCTGCCGGCCAATGCGCTCATGGCGTGGCTGGCTGGCTCGCAGGCCCGGCAGGGGGCAGGCACGCGGCTGGCCCTGCTCCTGCTCAGCCTGGCGCTCTCTGACTTTTTGTTCCTGGCGGCAGCGGCCTTCCAGATCATGGAGATCCAGCACGGAGGGCACTGGCCGCTGGGGACGGCGGCCTGCCGCTTCTACTACTTCCTGTGGGGTGTGTCCTATTCCTCCGGCCTCTTCCTGCTGGCAGCCCTCAGCCTGGACCGCTGCCTGCTGGCGCTCTGCCCACGCTGGTACCCGGGGCGCCGCCCAGTCCGCCTGCCCCTCTGGGTCTGCTCCGGGGTCTGGGTGCTGGCCACCCTCTTCAGTGTGCCCTGGCTGGTCTTCCCGGAGGCGGTCATCTGGTGGTATGACCTGGTCATCTGCCTGGACTTCTGGGACAGCGAGGAGCTGCCGCTGCGCATGCTGGAGATCCTGGGGGGCTTCCTGCCTTTCCTCCTGCTGCTCGTCTGCCACGTGCTCACCCAGGCTGCTGCCTGCAGGACCTGCTGCCGCCGCCAGCCAAGACCCCCGGCCTGCCGTGGCTTTGCCCGTGTGGCCAAGACCATTTTGTCAGCCTACGTGGTCCTGCGGCTGCCTTACCAGCTGGCACAGCTGCTGTATCTGGCCTTCCTGTGGGACATCTACCCGGGCTACCTGCTATGGGAGGTGCTGGTCTACTCCGACTACCTGATCCTGCTCAACAGCTGTCTCAGCCCCTTCCTCTGCCTCCTGGCCAGCGCCGACCTGCGGGCCCTGCTGCGGGCAGTGCTCTCCTCCTTCGCGGCCGCGCTCTGTGAGGAGCGGCCAGGCAGCTTCACACCGGCCGAGCCACAGACCCAAGTGGACTTTGGGGGGCAGACTCTGCCAGAACCAACTGCTGAGGCCCAGCCACAGGCGAATCCCCTGGTCCAGCCACAGGCGAACCCCACAGTCCAGCCACAGGCGAACCCCACAGCCCAGCCACGGCTGAATTCTAGGGCCCAGCCAGAGGCAGATTCTGGGGCCCAGCCTCAGCGGAACCCCACGGCCCAGCCAGAGGCAGATTCTGGGGCCCAGCCTCAGCGGAACCCCAAGGCCCAGCCAGAGGCAGATTCTGGGGCCCAGCCTCAGCTGAACCCCACAGATCAAAAACAGGTGGACTGTAAGGCCAAGCCCCAGTTGGACTCTGTGGCCCAGACAGAGGTGAGCCCTGAGGCCCAGACCCCTGGACCTGCTGCCAGCTCAGCCCCCAGCCCCTGTGATGAAGCCTCCTGCGCCCCATCCAAGGACCCCACCCCAGAGGCCACTGAGAATCCGGCCATGCCTGCTGCCTCTGAGGGCGAAAACCCCAGCAGTGCCCCCCCAGAGGAGGTTCCTGGTGCAGGACCCACGTGAGGGTCCAGGAAAGCCCAGTCCTGCCAGGGCAGCCGGAGGGAGACGGAGGAACCAGCCAGTCAGAGAGGAGGGGTGTCGCGGAGGAAGTCATCATGGAAAACCCCCGCCCCCCAGGTCCCTTGGGCCTGCAGGAGGACTTGGGGGAAGTGAGAATGAAGTGGCCAAAAGTCCCAGACAGTTTGTTGTGAGC